GCGACCCCAATAAAATGATTTTTTTAAATGACAGCAGGATGTGTAATGGACTCCTTGCATACAATTTATTCCTAATTATCTAAGTCTGTGAAGAAGCAGCTGTGGTATGCCTAATAATATAATGAGTCCAATAAAAATCCTTCACTCACCTACTTCGACTGTGCCTAGCATCTTTCCTACTTGGGGGCAATTAAACTTATACTGAGATCATGTAGGCACTGCTGGCAATCAAAAGATCATTTACAGTGTTGAGAACCCAAGAGTGAATAATCAAAAACATTTTTAAATGTCACTAAATAGTATTTCTTTCCCTGTTTTTCTGTTTGGTGTTTGGGTTTTTGTCCTTTTGTGGTCAAATTATATATGTACATTCAATGTCAAATACTGACATTCAAAAAAGAAGAATCGAAACGAGAATTGCAACTTACGGTAATGGATGTTGGGACTTCACGAAGAGAATATTCCGCTTTATTAGGAAGTTCTTGATTGCTGACCAGCTCATAAACAGCAGGTGAGGAAAGCACAGCCACCAATGCTAGGAAAGACTAGGCAAAGAAAGACAACCATTGAAATGCTTCGTTCCATTCTTCCAACAACAGGCACAGAGGAGTGACGTTGTTTAGAGCTGGATGACATAAAGGTGAGTTTATTTTTAAAAAGTCATCCTAGTAAATCCACTCAAAGCACTCAGCATGCATAACAATAATGTATGTGCACATAACACATAATGTTAAAACTGTTACCAAACACACAGGCACATTGAAACGTGTGTCTAATATTGTGAAGTATTTGTTTAAAAGTTTCATTCTGAGAAAAAATGAACTGATTCATCTTTCTCATCCTTTGCACTTAAGTACCTGATGTATAAGAAAGCATAAGCGAATACTGTGCACGGAATCTGGGACAAGATAATGAATCCTGTGTCTCCTGGCCTTTAGGTCACAAAGCTATCTTTTATCTTTTATCTTTTATGCATTCACTGAAAATCCAACTAACTGAGATATTATAGTTAATTTAAAACAGCCATAGCTCTTTTGCTCATTTTCAGGTGCAATCTTACAAAGTTAATCTTTCTATGAAATTGTTAAGCTCCTCATTCTCTGAACAGCTTATTAAAATGGAAAAAGAAGATTATTTCTGAGACACATTCCTTCTCTGGTCGTCCTGTTGAAAAGTCAGCAGAGGGTACGAATCACTACGCATCATCACTACACTCCGCAGGACGGCTTTCAAGGCACTTCGCTAACTGACGCCTTACTTCATTTCACAGACTCAAAAGTCTCATTTTCCCATTGTTTTCCAGCATGCAGTCCCCACTGCAGTCAATCCAATCTGCCTGTGGTCTCCTTCAACTTCCTGCCACATGTACAGAATTCCCCCACCGTGCTAACATGCACTTCTGCTTCCCCATGCTTTCATTACTCTACCTCTTAACTCACATGGTCCTCCTCTGGAAATCCTACATTCTCTCCTTTTTGCCTGTTTAAGTTTTTATTATATGAAACTATACCTAATTAAAACTATTACATTTTCTATTGGGGTCAAATGTTTTGAAAGTCATAAACTATTTCCAATAGAATCAGAATGCTGAAACTTTGAAAAATCAGCTTTTTTAATAAGCTTTTCTTATTAGGGGCTCATACAACTCATCACAATCCGTAGATACGTCATTTGTGTCCAGCACATTAGTACATATGTTGACTTCATCATTCTCAAAACACCTGCTTTCCACTTGAGCCCTTGGTATCAGCTCCTCATTTTATCCCCTCCCTCCCCACCCCCTTCCCCCTTCCCCCTTGATAATTTATAGATTATTACTATTTTATCATATCTTACCCTATCCGACATCTCTCTCACCCACCCCCCAGGGAAGAGGCCATATGTAGGCCTTGTCATCTGTTCCCCCTTTCTCCCTCACCTTCCCTCTACCCTCCCGCTATCGCCACTCTCTCCACTGGTCCTGGGGGGTTCGTCTGTCCCGGGTTCACTGTATTTCCAGTTCCTATCTGTGCCAGTGTACATCCTCCAGTCCAGCCAGATATGTAAGGTAGAATTGGGATCATGGTAATGGGGTGGAGGAAGCATTTAAGAACTAGAGTAAATTGCATATTTCATCGTTGCTACACTGCACTCTGATTGGCTCATCTCCTCCCCGCAGCCCTTCTGCAAGGGGATGTCCAATTTCCCCGGGATGGGCCCTGGGTCCCCACTCTGCACTCCCCCTCATTTACAATGTTATGATTTTTTTTGTCTTTGATGCCTGATCCCTTTGCCAGCTTTTAATGCAATCTCTCACTTACTAGATGAGGAAACCTGAGACCCAGCAAGTTAAGGGACTTGTCTAAAGATGCATACTCCCAAGGTTGGTAGAAGAATTAAAACACATATCTAAAGTTTCTTATTTCCAAGCTTAAGGAGTTCATTTCAATCATGATATAATCTTTAAACAATATTTACCTGTGCCAGCTTGTTCCAGTTTACACAGAACGGAACAATTAAATCTGAGCCCAGGAAAGTAGAGTCTATTTTATACCCACCCATTAATTATGCAAAATGAAATGTTATTTAACAAACAGCAGTGATTATATAGTGAATTAATAAAGTAGATGGTCATTGGGAATGAGAAAACCTTCAATAAGACAACATGATACAATAGTCACAATGAGCAGGAAGGTGACACAAGTTTGACAAGGTGAGTTAGAGATGATCTGATGGCAAATAAGAACATGTAGGAAATGTATTTATATTTAGCAAGTATATTTCCTTTTAAACACACATTTAACCAATGCTATTATAGGATAAAAACTGAACTCACATTATTCTTTTTTTTTTTCTTCTTAAGGCAGTATTTCATAAAATGACAATGTAATTTTTAACCAGCTCTAAGAATATATAATACAAACGTCAAAATGTAAAGCTATTTCTATTTGAATAGCAATGGATATATGATAAAATAGAATATCTAACTAAATTTAATAATCTAGTTCCCAGTTACTCGGTGCCTTTTTAGAGAGACTATGCTAGATGCACTAGGGACAAGAAAGTAAAATATTGAAGGAATAAAGAAGGAAAGGAGATTGAGGGATAGGCCTTTTGGTTACATATGAAATGAACCACAAGGAAACCAGAAGGTTTAAGGTCACCTCGAGAGCACCAAACAATAAACAACAAAGAAAACGGTTGCAAAACTTGATTCACCTGTCACAAAGGCGGTGACTAGGCTAACAGTCAAGGACCAGATTCCAGTCTAGTTCATGTTTTGTCCATTTGGTACCATGGTTCTGAGTCCCTAGACCCTGGGAATCATTCTCTCAAGACAGGTGGTTATGTCTACAAGGTTTTCAAAACTTTTCACTACTACATTTATGGATATACTTGGAGCAAATATAAATATATATCGGCAAATATCTTAATGATAGTTTTTGAATTTTAATGTATCAGGAAAATCTTTCAACATGTCTAATTTAAATGATTGACATAACAAATTTATTGACATTGCCTAATAATATGTTTATATGCTACATGAATATTTCTTTTATGTTTAAATGTATTTCCTATCTATTATAACCAGGACAAACTAAAATAGCCTTAATAAATGTCCACTTGTTAGAAAGAGCTCATGGTCTTTATTAAGCACACATATCAATGATAAATTGAGGGCTTTCATATTATTCACATGTACAGAATTCCACTGGTGCTTACTTGGACCACATAGAATCATCGTAACTTCTGATATGCTACTCCAAACATATTAGAAAGAACTTTGAATTAAAACAATTTATCGATTGTAATTGTATTTGGAGTACAACAATCTGGACAGAGTTTTAAGGAGATTTGAGAAGATTTCATCAGCTTGTTACCAGAAAATATAAACCCATTTTCACACACTTGGTATTTAAAGACATTAGTAGATGGTAAAATTGTGATACATAAAAGTAAGCACTTCTGGAATTTAAGGAAATATTTACAAAATAATCTTTATTTCTCAAGAAAATAACACTTTAAGAGATTGGTAATATAAGACATTTAATTAACCTAAAATATATAATAATGAAGAAACATAATTCCTTTTCATTAATGTTTGGGAGAGAGGAATAGGGTTTTGTGGAGTCTGATGGAGTAAAATTTCCTAATCTGGCTCTTCTACCCAAGTTTCTGTAACACTCACAAAATGATTGAGCTGGATGATGTAAATAGGGTGTAACGCTAATAGAGAGGACTGGTCAGTTTTTATCACCACCCCGTTGGCAATAAAGGTGAGTCATCTTTGAAGCAGCAGCAGAGAGAGAAGAGCACATTCAATATTTCTATCTGAAGCGGCGGAGGCCACCCGAGACCAGCTGCACCAGGGACTGTGACACAGACTCAGGGAAGTGGCCCCAAGACGATGGGGCACCTCCCCCTCCTCTAGCCTAAGGTTATAGGGCTGTCAGGGAAACAAAGACCCAGGTTCCATTGGCTGAGAGACTGAGGCCCAGAGAAATACTTGGCCACTGGTCAAAGAGGTGTTGTTATATAGACTGTCTGCCCCTGTAATGACTTTACCGTTGGGAACCCAAAGGTTCTATTCTGTCCTATTGAGTCACGGTGAGTTAGAACCAACTTGATGGTAGGGAGTTTAAGCATCTGGCCCAATTCCTGATAAGCAATTGTACTCAAATATTTTTTATCAATAAAATAAAAAAGTGAATGGATGCTCCTTAGCAGGATGTCATTGGATAATTCACTGAATACTTTAACCTTAACATATACTAAATAGCAGTCCTTCTACTGCTTTCTTTTTCATTGCTACATGCAATAGACAGTGTGCATGGCCATATATGACCTCAAGACAGGGTTGGCCATGCCTCCATGGTCCATGACTCTTTACTTACTCTGACATCAACTCTTCTGCCCTTGGCATTCTACTTATATGCGGGGTTTGATAATTTGTTGCAATGCCACATAGAACTCAAAGACAATATTCACAATTAAGGATGTTTATTAGGGAAGTTATAATGTACTTTCCATCAGGATCAGCAAACAGTAAGGATATATATAGTCATTGATCCATATCGCAACACCTCTCTAGCCAGCGGCCAAGTCTGGATAGAGTAGGAGAAAAATGTGGAATGAAATTCAAAATCGTGAAAGAGATCAGACTAGCTGATCAGATAGAGATGGGTAGGACCCCTAAGACTATGGTCCTTGGTCACTCTCCAGGTCTAGAACTAAATTCACCCCTATGGCTCAATTTTCAGCCAAACAGCAGACAGCCCTAAAAGGAGAACAAGAATACTACCTTCAAATAATCAACCAAGAGAGAAGAAGGGGGTAGCATTTACCCAAGGACAGAGTTCACTTGAAAACCTTAGTGAGTATTTCTACTCTGCACACATGGTGTGGGGTGGGTGATGCTACATTGAGAGATTGCAATGAATTAGATGAAATAAAATGTGTTTGAATTGTTGAATGTAAAGCTGATGAAAAGCAAAAAACTTTTTAAAATAGTGCCCTAGATGACCTGACGGTATTCACTATGGTGGGGTGAGGAGAGAGAGGAGGAGTGACACTATAGGACAAAGCAGAAAGACAAACAGTGACAACTATGACTGCAGAAGCACCAGACAGGCAGGCAGGAGGAGATAGAGATGTGTTAGGTTAATGAGCTCACTCTTTATACTCTAAGATCATTCTAAACAAATTATTAGGAGGACAGACAATACCTGGGAGAA